TTCACCCTCGAAGCTGGTGGTAGCCATGGCTAATCGAGCAGTTCACATCTACGAGCTCAAGACTCTAGCGAGCGAGTGCAGAAGTTCGGCGAATTCATTACAGAACAGACTCGACATCGAACCATGGCAACGAAGAGAGAGCAGTTTGAAGTTCATGACGCGTGCGGTGGACTGCATGCCAAATGATGAAGGTTATGCATCATCAAGTATCGAAGGTCGAGTTGCAGTGGAGTGGTTCGATCCATCCAACGATTCACAGGCTCGCAAGTATGCTTTCAAGTGTCATCGACAGCCGATCGATGAAGTCGATGTTGTTTACCCGGTCAACGCCATTGCATTTCATCCCATCCATGGCACATTCGCGACTGGCGGCGGTGATGGGGTGGTCGCCATCTGGGACGCTGTTGCAAAACGAAGGATCCGTATCTACCCCAAGCTTGCCTCGAGTGTCGCAGCTCTGTCTTTCAGCGCGAATGGAAAATATCTGGCCATTGCCATCAGCCCAGGTTTCGAAGACGGCAAGGATGAAATCACCGAAGGATCTATCGGGATTTTCATTCGCGAACTCAGCGAGAATGAGGTCAAGAGGAAAGCAAAATGAATCTAATTCCCGACGATGTTCACATGAGGCGATATTTGCGATATGCCTCCGCGACCGACCCAATCTATCAAGGTGCCGCCGCCACAACGCCCGGCTCAGAGCTATGCACAGGGACTAACGGCGGGTATTTCGCAATAATGGAATCCCGTTTATGTCGAGCTGCTCGCACCGACACAGTGCCGTCGGCCATACCGAAATAACAAGCGACCGGTCTCTGGCCGCCAATTACACCAGCCGCCTCGGCCTCAGGACCTGTAGGACCACAGAAAAGGCCTACGGCGAGCACACCATTGATGTCCTTAATAGCTCGAGCGAGTTGTTCCACCTCCCAATAGCCGTTTTCGCCGTCACCAGGTTTTTCGGGTGTGAGGTCATCGGCAATGAGGAGTGGATGGGGAAAAGGAGCGTCGACAATAAAGAAGTCTTGATCCGTCTTCACAGGGCCGGCTTTCGCGAGGTGGCCTTCTCTGATCATTGGACCTGCGCCTGCTGCGTTGCGACTACCCAGCATTCGTAGCCTTTTCATAACCTGCCGTGCGGCCTTTGGTTCGACTTCTATAGGGATAGTAGGCCACTTGGTGACTAGACGGTGCTGGAGCTTGCGGTAGTCTTGGGCCAGTTATTAAGACTGCCCTGTACAGACGCGAGAGGGACAACATACCAGCGACACAAATAAATTGTTTTGATCTCATGGCCACCAACTTTTCCTGATACAGACAAGCACCTCCACCCTTGATGCAGTTCAACTCCTCGTCCACCTCATCTGCTCCGTCGAAATTAACATCGATCACGGCATCGTCCGGCAGAGCATCAAACTCGATTGGCACCAAACCCGCGTTTATGATGAGTTGTTTGGACTGGTATCCCGTTGGCACAAAGCCGACTCTTGAGACGTCCACGCCGCAGTTTTTGATCGCATCCACCACATAGACAATGGTTGTGCCAGACCCGATTCCCACAAAGCGTGGATTCGGGGGGAAATGGTTCTTGACAGCTTCGATAGCAGCGGCCTTTTTGGCAGCTTCAATCTCGGCGGCCATGCTAGCTTTCGCGAGACTGCGGGTTTGATGGAAGTGGTGTTTCTGGGGATTGCGCGACGCTGGCAGGTTACGGAGCTGAACGATGCAGAGAGGTCTACCGCGGGGAATCAGGAGAAGAGTTCTAGCTTGTCTATCTACGAGGTGTTAGCTGAATAAATACTAGAACCATGACAGAACGGTTGGGGAGGGACTGGGCTCTCGTCACTCACAGAGTGCGACCATAAAAAAAATCAGGTTGTCTTTGGAATCAACATCAATCGGAATAGTCTAATCGGATTACGTACACAACGACAGATGACTTATCTCAAAAGAGACATCTCCGCCGTTGCCGCAATTGGAGTAAAGACCGGAATCCTGAATTGATCAAAGATGTCGGGAGGAAGTTTCACCAGTGAAGCAGCAAGTTGAGATGCACATGGCGGGGACTGGACTTGCTATGGTGGGGGAAACATCTCATCGCCATGCGAAAACTACGCATGAGCCACACTTAGTCACACTAGCCACACTAGCCACAACCGACTAGAGCATTTCTGGTGACGTCGAACGGATGAGTTTCCCCGAAGATCGGCCAGGATTTCGTTTCCCCTCAGGCGCAGGTTGTATTTGTGCCTGCGTTCACTCAGTTGCACACATCTTTTGATCGCTGTCAGCTCTAAAGACCCGCAGCCAGCTTGTCGGGGATGTCGAGATCTTCTGTCGCACCCGAACCACCGCAATCATGACGGAGATCGCCCCCCGCGAGGTCACTCCGCCTGTCCTCCAACCACCGTCGGCCAAAGAACGGAAATATGACCGGCAACTGCGATTATGGGCTGCCTCAGGACAACGCGCCCTAGAACAATCCCATGTTCTCCTGGTCGTGGGAGACGAAGCCTATGGCTCCAACAGCAGCGTTGCTGGTGCTGAAGCTCTCAAGAACCTCATCCTCCCGAGTGTGGGCAGCTTCACAATCGCAGACCCCGCGACGGTCACTGAAAGAGATTTGGGAATCAACTTCTTCCTCGAGTCGGACAGTCTTCACAAATCGAGAGCGGATGAGATGAGACGACTGCTTCAGGAGCTGAATCCCGATGTCACAGGCCACGCTATTTCGGCTCCCTTGATGGAATGGCTCCCTGTGCAAGACTCCCTCAAGCCATACAATTTGATCCTTCTTGGAGCTCCGCTGTCTCGGGAACCGCTCGAGAGGATATGTGGTTATGCTTTGGAGAACTCGATACCAGTGATCTACCTCCAGTCGGTCGGGTTCTTTGCCTCCTTCTCAATTCAACTGCCTACAGAATTTCCCATTGTGGATACTCATCCCGATCCTGAAAGTACCCAAGATCTCCGGCTTCTTGCACCCTGGCCTGAACTCGACGCTGAAGTCGATTCTCTTGGGGATCTCTCATCGTTATCAGATCACGAACATGGCCATATCCCTTACATACTCATTCTCTTACACTACCTCAGACGGTGGAAGCTTGATCATAATGATCAATACCCGTCCTCCTTCAAAGAAAAGACCGAGTTCCGGGACCTCGTCAAGTCGGGCGCAAGAACGAACAATCCTGAGGGCGGAGAAGAGAACTTTGACGAAGCTTGCGCTTCGGTACTTAAGAGTATAACCCCACCACCCGTAGGCAGTGGGTGTAAGGAGATGATGGCCATGCTTTCCTGCACCAATCTGACTAAAGACTCGGCAAACTTCTGGGTTGTCGCAAACGCCATCAAACAGTTCTACGACACCCACGAGGTTCTACCTCTACCTGGAACTCTACCGGACATGAAAGCCACCAGTGCAGACTACGTGAAGCTTCAGACCATCTACAAGAGCAAAGCACGAGCTGACGTCGCCGAAGTGACGAGGCTTGTTCGAGAAATCGAAGCATCCCTCTCAAGGACGACTGCGCAAGTCCCAGACTCTGAGATTGAGGCCTTTTGCAAAAACGCCTCTCATGTACGCGTCTTGACGAACCAGAACAAAGAAGCCCTTCCTTCGCTCCGCCTGCTGATGCCAGACACCAAACTTTCTTCCCGACTTATTTCTATTGTCGAAAATGACTGGGAGTCCCTGTTCCCTGTTTTCGTCGCCCTGAATAATAAAGCCTTTTCGGCAGATGTGTCACTCAATGTACAAACACTGTCATCTGACCCGGAGATCCAGGAGAATATTGCAAATGCGATCGAGGAAGTCGAACGTGCAGAGGGCGGTGAGCTGCATAACATTTCCAGTATAGCAGGAGGCATGGTTGCGCAGGAGGCGATCAAACTGCTTACGAGGCAGTATGTCCCGGTAGATGGGACTTGTGTTTTTGACGGTATAAAGAGTAAATCCGCAGTCTTTAAGATATGACACTCAAACATCAAGGAGTCAAAGCCTGGGAAAAAGTACCCAAAAGCGGTTAGACAGATTGAAGATGAAGAGAAATGAGACTGAGGCATGAGAAGCGCCCATTCATGAAAGGTCAAATGACGGGACCCAATGAGCATGATTGATCAAACGGCTACTGATAGACGGACGGACGATATTCAATCGAGCAAGAGATCCATAGAGGATTCTCCCTTGAAGTCTGACAGACCGCATGAATCGTTTATTTATACTCGGTACTCGCTACAAGACCGCAGCAGCAGCTCCTCGAGGCTACATGCAATGACCGGACTGAGTAAAAGCCTCGAGACCAGACCAGACCAGATAAGAACCAAGAAATGCAAATTACATACTTGTAAATGTAGACAAAACCTTTCTTTGTGAATGCTTTGTGAATGGAAATGGAAAGAATTAATATCACTAGGTACCTATGCTATGTAGGTAGATAGGTAGGTGGGCAATTACCCATCAGTCACCGCTATGCCATGTCCTGCCGTGCCATGCATAATCCAAAAGGGCTCTCTCTCGCTCTCTCGCCCTCTCGCCCTCTCTCTAGCTATCTATATACAAAAAGGTGAATGAGGGATACATACATCAACCATTAAAACATGTACATGCACCATGCATATGCACGTGTGAGACCGCGAGCCAGCCAGTCTGTCCAGAGGGGCCAGATGGCTCTCGTCCACCCCGCGCATGCGGTGCAAGGGGCGGCCACAATCGTACCGTGCGTGGACCAAGGGGGGGGCCGGGGTATCGGGGAGAAAAAAAAAGGGGGGGAAGCATGCATGCATGAGTGAGTGAGATAGACACTTGCAAGGCTTGAACGCGGCAAAGAAAAAAGTCTTTTGTGGTCCAAGGCTTCGAACAAAGGTCTGCACGGGGAAATCTTCGACGCTGAAAAAAAAAAGCAATAGTAAAAGAACCTGGCCACTCGCTGGGGGGGCGCATGCGCTGAAGACAGGGATGGGACCGAAAACAGGCAGCATCAAAAGCTAGCTGCTGGAAATCATATCGCATCTCTCCACTCATCGGTCAGTTCCTCTTCCCTGACCATCCTCCTCAGGTCCTTCAGAACGGCCTCTGTGCCTTTTTCGACGACCGTTATCCTCGGGACGCGGAATTTGTTGCCGCTGACCTCCAACACCCTCAGTCGGCCCTCTCTTCGTTCCTTGGCGCCCGGGATATTGCCAAACAGGCCCAGCTTTGGCGGGAGACTTTCGATCTCGTTGTTCCTAATGTCGAGAACCTCGAGTCCGCGCACTGCCTCGACGTCGATCGAGGAGAACCAGTTGTCTGTTGCCAATAGGGTGTTGACGTTTGGCCACCACGCGCGAACCCACGGCACGTGGCCTGTCAGGCGGTGGCATGAGATGTTCAACTCCGTGAGGACCGGGGCTTTCAGGTATGTCGTGAGCGCGTCGAGAGAGGTGAGTCCAGTGGAGACGATGTAGAGTGATTTCAGGTTCGGGAGGAACAGTTCGCTCGCCAGGTACTCCGTGGGATGGAGTTGGGGGTTGTGAGAGAGGTCGAGAGATTGGAGGCTGTATTTGAGGGAGGGGTGTGAAAGGAGGTCAGCTGGGAAGGTTGATAACTCATTGTTGGAGAGTTTGAGGGTGTGAACTTGGGAGGACAAGTCGATTTCAGAAACGGAGACGGTGGCAAGGGAGAGGGAAGAAAGATCGAGGGTCCCATTGGAAGGTCTGTAGCGGTACTCTCCCTTGGAGTCGAGGCTGGAAAGGTTGTCGCTCGGCTCCACACCAGCCCTCTCAGACTGGTCCAGCTCAAGCTTCTTCTCCAGGTCCGTCTTGAGCTCAGAAGCAGTCATGGTAAGGTATTTCTTCTCACGAAGTGGATTACCAACAATGTTGAGGCTCGACAGGTTGCCCATCGTCGCGATCTCGGGCAAAATGAGCCGGATGTTGTTGTTGCCAAAATCTGCCGCCTTCAGGTTTTCAAGCTGCTCAAATTCAGACGGAATCTCTTGCAACTGGTTGTCTGATACATCCAAGGTGTTAAGTTGGCTGCAATTCGCTAAGCAAGGGAGGGCGGTCATCTTGTTCCCTTTTAGGGCAAGAGAACGCAGGTTGGGGAGGTCCGGGGTACTTTCGCTGTCGGACAGCTTCTCTAGCTCGTTGAAGGATGCGTCCAAGATACGCAGGTCGCGGAGAGCTGACGCAGTGGACAATAAGGTTCCCGAAATGCGGTTTCGCGAAATGTTGAGTTCGACCAGACTTGAGGTAGGTAGACTCTCCCAAGGGATTGTTGAAAGTCTATTGCCGGAAATGTTCAAGACCTTCAAGTTCTGGAGCAGCGAGAGCCCTGCCGCGCCAAAACTCTGGATTTTATTGCCATGTAAGTCGAGAACTTGCAGTTCGCTCATACGTCCGCCCAGTTCCAACATGCCTTCGATGAGATTGTCCGCGAGGACGAGCTCCTTTAAATTGGGAATCTGGCCGATAATCTCAAAGGCTTTGTTGCCAAATTTGTTGCCAGCCAAGTTCAACACCTGAAGTCTTTCCAGTTTTCGCAGTCCGGTTGGTATTTGATGCAATCGGTTTCTGCGCAGGTCCAATGTTTCGAGGCCGCCAAATTGACCCCTGTTCACTTCGTCGTCAGCTAGGTCTGAGTCGGCAAAATCAGGGAAAATGTCGTCTCCCAATTCCTCCAGCTCGTTGTCTGCTGCGTTCAGTTTTGTTAAATCCACCATCTCAGCCCAATTCGTCATGCTGTTCTCTGATTCATACATTTTCATCACTTCTGAAGGCATCTGCTTCAATTTCATTGCCGCAATATTCAAATGACCAGACGTCACGGCTTGTTGTATTCGTTTTCGTAAGAGACCTTTGTTGTCACCGCTTGAAAGTGCACTTTCATCGACAAAGTCCAAAGGCCAGTCGGCAGGTCCAGCTGACGGGGCGCTTGGTGTCCCGGCACTCTCGCGGGTTTTTCTTTTTGCAGCCTTTGCCTTTGCAATTGTTTCTCGTAACGCGGCCGATGATTTTGCCGAGTTCATTGCCTGGGCTTCTTGTGCCGCAGCGGTATCTTGCTGAGGTGGGGCGGCCTTTTTGGCTTTTGTTGCGGGCTTCGTGGGAGAAGTCGACGGCGCGAGAGTGTTCTCGCCTCTTGATCGAGGCTTGAGAAGTGCTGGCGACAATTCAACGCCGGAGACTGCCAGCTTCCCACTGGGCCGCGGTGGGGGAGAAGGGGCGTTGAAAAGGGATGAAAGAGACTGCTTTGACGCTGGCGTAGGTGACATTGTCCCCCGGTCCCCATATGTTGGCCGATGTTTCAAGGTTTGGGCTGACACCTTTGATGGTGGCACTCCAGGAGATTCCTTATGAGGGACACCGAAAGTTGAACTGGAAGATCGTCTAGATTCTCGAAGTGGCTTTGCAATCCGTGATCGCTGACCTTTGACGAACGCCTTTGGGGGTGTGTAGATTTCGCCGGGTGAGACGACCGGGGGAAGGGCCATCAAGTCCTTCGTCGGAGAGATCCTCCCAGGAGGTCGAAACGGTCTCTTGATGGGTGAATCAGGTCGAGGTACCATTGACGAAGGAGTTGGAGATATCTGTTGAGGTCGGTGCATATCCTTTGCCCCGGCCGTTGCTACAGTCGAATTCTCATTGCCGTTCTCAAACATGGGATGGTCTTGGTTAGATCCAGGAGGCGTCGTGTCCATGGCGGTCATTTGCACGTCGCGAAGAGCGTCTCTCACGGGCGACTCGCTCCTTGGGGTTACCGGTTTATCCAACCAGCCATATCGAGACCGGATCGACTGATTGACATTCTCTCCGAGGGGCCGCGGAATGTGCGAGGTCTTCCGCACTTCTTCATGGTGCATGTTTGACATAGCTGCTGAGCGAGCCGACAATTTCAGGTTGTCACTTGAGGCCACTGCACGTGGCATTGGGAGTTTGGACAGCCGTGGAAGGCTACCACGCACGGGGATATGGGACCCCTGCTCATTATGGTGGTCCATGCTTTCTCAGAGACGAGATGTTGGTGAGCCTAGATTCGCTGAGGACATGGGTTCCGATGAGAATATCATCTGGCTCTGGTTGCAGACAACTGCTGGGGGATATTGTAGAACTCAGAAGCTCAGAGAATATCAGCGTCGAGGAAACTGAACCCTGCGTAGAAAAGGTCCCCTGGGATGTTGACATTGGTCAGGGGTGACAGGGTGAGCAGGAAAAAATCCTAGGCTGGTGGTTGTCCTACACGACCGCGCTAGGCCACGCCATGGTGACGCCAATTTGACGCGTCCGGCGCCTCCATTAGGGCCCAAACCGCGTTCAGTTAAGAGGATGCGCGAATCCCAAGCCTCCAGGTGACACCCCAGCGCCGTGGTGCCTAAAACTCTACCTACGTACTCCGTTCTGGTCCCTACTGGTCCTTGTAGTGGTTTAGCCTTGGACGGGGTCCGCTCCACCCTGCCTCTTACGCGCACTGTTCCATCGCCAGCTGCTCCAGTACCTCCAGCGCCGCCGGGTTCCCACTCCACCGTCACCACCACTTCAACCTCGACCTCAACCTCTTCCCAGCCTCTCCTCTACCATCTCTGTCCCTCCTCCCCCTCGCCCTGCCCTCACAATCCTCATCAAATTCTGTCAAATACCAACCTGCATTCTGTGCATCTTCCTGTCTTTACCCGAATTCTCCAGCTAGAGTTCCAGGCTCGCGCTCTGACCAGTCCTTCTTTTGTCCGTATTTCACCTGATACTCTCGACATTGAACGCACTGCGCCGAAGCGCTGTTCCGCTTCACCCAATTTCATCTCTGTCGCCAAGGTCGCATCCCTCTAAACGGCGGCTCTCTGCACGACCTGCGCTGCGTGAAGCCGTCATTTGCCTATTTTTTGGACACTTGGAACCCAACTGGCCACTGATTCCGATCAATCCCTCTGGTATCGATAGCGACATGGCGAACTCACCATCCCCCGTGGATGTCTCGACAGTTCCAGCTACTCCTCCCTACGTCCGAGCTCACTCAGCAGACAGCATGAACAAATCCTCGTATGCATCCCCTCCACCGATGTCAGCCTCCATGACCCCGCCTCCGTCGACGCAACCTCCTCGTTTTCAGTCTCCCGTCAATCGCATCAACTCTGCTCCCATCGATGCCCTGCTTGCTTCACCTCCACCAACGGCGATTAGATCTAATGTCCTCAGCGCCTTGCCAACGCAAGATGCGATCGCGAAAGCAGACATTGAAGAATTGCGAAGCATGGCCACGGATTTGGTCGCAGCGGTGCGAGAAGCGCGAACGTCGGCCGCTCATTTCAAACTGCAGCACAGTCTTCTGGCTATGGAGGCGGACCAGGCTGCGCAACGAGCCGAAGTTGAACAACAAATGAGTCGTCGGGAGATCGAGGTTCTTCAGACCGCTGAGTATAGGCACCGTGCGTCAATGCAGTCACGAAACTCGGTTCCTCCACCCCAGCCGCAGATTGAGGCTTTGACCAAAACATGTCAAGCTTTGGAGGAGGAACGTGACGAAGTAGAGAAGCGCCTGACTCGAGCAAAGAAGCTTGTCGAGTTGCAGAATGATCGAAACGAATTGCTTGAAGAGGAGAATGCCCTGTTGAAGAGGCGAATTCGTGAGAACAGAGAGCACTTCACCAAGTTCAAGTGTCTGTCGCCGTCGCACACCACTCCTCGCGATACCTTCACGACTCCCCACCGGAAGCCTGTACCTCGCTTCCCAGAATCTGCACCTGTCCCGAACCATTCGAACATTGCTGCCCTTCTAGCCGCAGGTGAAGTACTCAGTGGAGAGTCTCTTAGCGTCCCTTCGACTCCCACGCGAACGCACACCTCCAAATTCAAGCATGGTCATACCCGTGGGGCTCATTCTCTGTCGTCACTGCAAACCACACCGATACAAGTTAAACCTGCCACCCATGACGGCTATCCAGGGTCTGTGGTGCCCTTTTCCGCACCCTCTTCCCAGTTGGCCATGGAGTCAGCTGAAAGAGAACGCCATGACCGAGATAGCACCATTTCCATCTCTGATGTCGAAGAGGGCAACAACGATGACAGCATTCCAGAGTCTCAGGCCAGTTCATTGGCGAGTGATATGTTGCGTCGAAATCCAGGCTCCCAGGAGAGCTTGAGGCTATCTCAAGGTGCAGAACGCTCTAGCAATCTGCTTCAGAGCAAGATATTTGGTACCATCAAGAAACCTGGTCAGCTCAGAAAGCGAGGAGCGAGTTTTGGAGAGTCTGACATCAAGGCGAAGAAGGCGAAGCTTTCTCAGGGAGTTGGACTTGGGATTGGGTCTTGGAGTCAAACGTGAATGGCAAGTGCAGATGATGGAACGAATGATGATTGGAGACATGCTTGTAATGATACCCTCCCGAATCCGGCGTTAAGATTGGAGGCTACAAATTGGCAGTGTTACAGTAGGAAAGGCTCTACCGTGGTAGCTCATGCTCAGTCATATCAATGGAGAACATGCTCAATTTTACTATGAACAAGTACGAGGTACCAGTCTCGAAAAATGTGGTCTGAACTCGATGGAACAAATTGTGTGCGCTGTATGAAGCAGTCAGTCCCAGAAGTGATCATCCCAGGCCTGAGGTGCTTGTAGAAATTCGCGAGGCTGAGGACACGAGGCTAGTCCGAAAGTAGAACAAACCAACCACGTGACTACACAAATCTTGGCCCAAATTATCTCTGCCAAGCCTCGAAATTGCATCCTCGCACTCCACCAAAAGTTCGACCTTGACTTTTGTGTGTGTGTGTGGTGTGTGCTTGGGATCCCAAAACCTCTTATCCCCTCTCTTCCACAACTCTCCCAAGGGGACACTCTTTTTTTTCTGTTTCTGTTCGTCCCATTTTTTCGATCATCTCGCAACAATGGCGATCAAGCACAACCAGCAACTCCCCAACAACCACTTCCACAAGGACTGGCAGCGCCGCGTCCGCGTGCACTTTGACCAGGCCGGCCGCAAGTCTCGACGCCGAGCAGCTCGTCTGGCCAAAGCCGCTGCCGTTGCCCCCAGACCTGTCGACAAGCTCCGACCCGTCGTGAGGTGTCCTACGATCAAGTACAACCGCCGTGCCCGAGCCGGTCGGGGGTTCACATTGACGGAACTCAAGGTACGATTTCCCCCTCCTCATCTCTAGCCTACAATTTGGGGTCTGGTCATCGAAGGAACATGGAAAGGAGGGTGCGAAAATTGAAATAAGGGGAATGTGAGAAAGAGAAGGGTGCTGGGATAAGATACACAAAAAGCTGGAAATATTTCATTTCCCTTTTGTTACCAAAACCTACCCTCCAATGCAAAAAAAAAAGCCCTATGGAAGCCTATCTCACTAACCATCTTTTGCCCGCTACACAGGAAGCCGGCATCCCCCGCAAACTCGCACCCACGATCGGCATCGCCGTCGACGCCCGCCGCGTGGACACCAACCAAGAGACCCTGGCGCTCAACGTGTCGCGCTTGAAGGCGTACAAGGCCCGACTGATCCTGTTCCCGCGCAAGTCCGGCCAACACAAGAAACTCGACTCGTCCGAGGCTGACGTTAAGCTGGCGACCGAGTCGGCGGAGAACAAGGACGGCAAGATCGCCACGTCGGTGCGGGACGTCATGGCCATCGACGCCGGCGTCGGCCTCAAGCACGGCTTCAGCGAGATCAAGAAGGGCGACCTGCCCGAGGGCGAGGAGGACGCGTACCGGAAGTTGAGACAGGCTCGCAGCGAGGCCCGGTTCGTCGGCGCGCGCGAGAAGCGGGCCAAGGCCAAGGCAGAGGCAGAGGAGGCCAAGAAGAAATAAAGAAAGAAAGACAAGATCCGGGGGGGGGAAAGAATACCAATTTTCTACCTTTTCTTTTTCCCTTCACTCCTCGACCACTTGCGACAACAACGACAACGACAACAACAACAACACACCAAGATCTGCACTCGGTGTTCTGTGTCTGGGGGCCTATGATATGAACGTACGGTTTGGGGAGGGCGGAGAGCGCTCGGAGAGAGATGGGGGAAAGTGTGCAGAGACAGTGTTTGGCGAGGGATTGCGTTCAAATGGGGATGAGAACATGCATGGAGTGAGGAAAAGCCATACCCCCCAAAAACAACATGATTGCCATTATGAACCATGCGCATGCCAGGCTCGGGCATGAGTCAAAACGTGCGAGATCAATACTAGTATCCGGAACCAACCAAAAAAAAAAACTACATCGTCGTGTTTCAATTCCCCTGGAGGTCTTTCCTATCCATTCCCACCTTCGCATGGCTTGACAGGGTCCCCGAACATGGATTCAGGCAGTGCATGAGCGCAATAGAAAAATGAAAAATGAAAATCTCAGTGACAGCCGTAAAAGCAACAACGCATTTCCAATCAATAAAGCCCTTGGCCATTGTAAAAAGGGATCTCGCAAAGCTTTTGATGGACAAATTTCATTATTCTGACTGGTCACGCCTGACACTCAACCAGCCCGGACCAGCAGCAGACTCCTGAGCCGTGTCCTTCTATCCTGGCATACACATCCCAACGGTCCTGCTCAGAGCGAGAGGGGTATCTCACAATATTCGTCAATTCATGTCTTCGTGATTCGGCACATCCTCACCACCTGTCACGCCTTTTTCTTGCCCTTCAGCGTACTGGTAAATTTGAATTCGTCGCTGTCTCCATGGATCAATGTCCAAATGTTCTCGAATGCTCCCTTGACACCCAGCGTTGGGATCAAGCTGCAGAAGACCGTCCTCAATCCAGGTTCTGCTTTCTGGGGGATCCCACTGACAGAAATCTGGATATCAGAAGTTGGTCCGCCAGCCCAGTCCATATTGATGGCCCATGAGAGCATGACCTTCCTTCTGAATTTCTTGCCGCCTGCTGTAGTATTCATTTCAGCTTCGACTGCCACATTCTGCGTCATATCCAAATAGCGTGCCAGTTCAATTGCCTTGTCCTGAGTCAGCTGTTGATCCTTTTCTTCTTTGACCTGATGCTCATCATCGGACAAAGAGCTGTTGTATTTGATATCCAGCCACTGGAATACTTTGGCACGTTCAATTGCAGCATTGAACCATCGCCCGATTCCCCAGATCAGCCCACCGACATCAAGCCGGTGTAAAGGATGCTCCAGACGGCCATTAACCCATTTGAAGATCTCGGCTTTTGTTGTCTTGGTACGGCGGGCTCTGCTCATTACTTCCTTCAGTTCAATGTGTTCGACCTGAACATTTTCCGCATCAACGACCACTTCAAAAGCGCAAGAGAGTGCATCCGGGAGCCACGGGGGTGGTGCTTCAATTGTCAACAAGTGGACAATCTTCGTACGATCTCTGATTACCATGGTCTCCGTTCGAGCAGTCAGTTGTAGGTTAGCAGGTGCAAACAACGATAAGTGGGCGGACATCGCTCCGCCGCCATCAGTAGACCCGAGGCCACGGAGAGATCTGTCCTCCAAGAGTGATTGCTGTAGCATAGAAACAGTTTCCTCGCTCACATTCTTGTCATCAATAAGAGCTGCCTGCAGTTTCTCGTTCTCTCCTTGTAATTGTTGCAATTTCCCTCTCAGCGTCTCCAGGATCGATGCTTGTTCTCCACCTGGTTCAGAAGGTGCCTCGATGTCTTCTTGTGCCTCTTCAACCTCACTTTCTGGTGCTTCCTGCGCATCGTCCTGCCCACTGACGCTCTGTCCACCGGAGGCTTCATCAATTGGAGGGGCTCTAGGCTTGAGAGGACTGCTAGTGACGGGCATCCGTGATTCATCTCTCCATCTGCTTGATCTGCCACTCATCTTCGAGCTCCTTGGGCTGCTGCTGGATGCCAAACCACGAGGTCGTTCAGGTGCAGGGCTCAGACCTAGCTCAACAGGCGTGGGAGGTAGCTCGGGTTCACCACTCACGCCTCGCACAACAGGTCTAGGATCCGTGTCTTTTCTAGTGACCAGCTTGGGCAGGATTGATGGTGGAGCAGCCTCTTCACTAGATGCCGATCTCTCCCAGGCCGGATGTTGTGCGGGCTGCCGCTCTTTCAGCGCCGGGCGCTCATTGTCGATGACTTGGTCTGCTCTTGTAGTCGCGACCTCCTTCAGCGACGCAGTGGAATCTGGAGCCGACAGGTTTTCGTTCGCTTGTGTGGTAGGTGGGTCGGGTGCACCGTCGAGGCTCTTCTGGCGAGGGACCTGGGACACCGTCTTGGGCGGATCGGGAACATGCTCATGCCTTCCCAGGATTTCATCTCTCAAGAGCCTTCCCCTTGGTTCGGTGGCTGAGCGGCGGGCAGATCGAGTGATGAGGTGCGGATGGGAACGAGCCAAGGAACTTTTGGTGGGAGAGCGGTAGGAGGCTCTTGTGGGAGTCGTTGGCTGTGCGTTGGCTGCCGAGGCGGCACTTGTTGGCTGCGACGGACTCGGATCGATCTTTCGTCTCTTTGCCGGAGACTGCAGCATTGTGGGCGGTCGTTGCCGTCGTGGACGATGTCGCCCGATTGAGGGCTCTGATTTTGGGGGAGAAGGAAGGCGCGCCCCTGGACGCGACGGACGGAAACAAGGGTCATTAGTCGGGCTCTAACCTATTCTGGGAAAAATATAATGCCGCCCTGATAATATACATCGACTGGGCCAACGAAGAGGCAATAATTGCGGCCAAGTAAAAGCGGCACCATGAAAGTATCAATCTAGGATTGATCTAACCCGATATTGCTTCTATGTATTATACACAGCGAGACAGGCAAAGTCGTTGGTGTGAAGAGCACCTTTTAGTCCGCAGCGAATGTTCTGCCATCGAGTGTCAAAGGTATATTCATTATATTACACATTACCACTAGTGATGGTCATACAGCATGTTCATCCCCGACGCCTGCCCATTTTCTTTTTCTAAACACCAGCGCCTGGACCCGTCCGGCTGCGTGAGCCACCCGGCCCAATACAGCCCGCCTCTCATTTTGACCTTGTCGTCTCTCTCCCTCGGCGCCATGGTTTCGTACCCTTGCATCTCCTCGCGGAGGTGATTGTCCCGATTGCACAGCATCAGCCATACGGCAAGCGGCCTTGTGGGTTCACATGGCATCATCATTTTCTCGTTCAACGCCCGCCAGCGGAAGATTGCGAAGACAGTAAGGACCATCAGGGCCAGTATCGCCCAGCTGGTGTATATACTGACGAGGAAATCGAGCCAGATCTGGGCAGAGTTGAACGGCACGCCACCGATGGCAATGATCAAAACGTCCGACAGAATGGCTACAAATGCCACAAAAGCGTGGAAGAGGTTGCCCCTCCAGAGCGCCTGGAAGATACTTGTTAGAGGCGTCGAGTTCTGGGACACCAGGATCGTGGCCTCTGGCTTTGAAGACCCCTGGAATAGTCGTCGATATGGTGTCAGAAGTCGGACTTCTCGCTCCAACTGTTTCCAGCGGATATCAAGCAGACTGGCGGCGGCTGTAAGGACAAGTTGACTCGTCGGATTGTGGTTGAAATAGTTGTTGAAGGGATCATCGTGCCCATCCATATAGTACCCTACGAGCACGCCGAGAAGTGCTAGAATGCAAAGCAGGAAGATTGTGTCGACGAGGAATCTGTTTGACAGCGTACTTTTGGAGGTGTGCATTTGGCTCTCACCCGGACGTGGTGCCAGAGCAGAATATTTCGGCTGTTTGGTGTATCTGACTGAGTGCTCTGGCGATTTTTCAGGCGCCTTTACGATCCCATACCTGATATAACCCGTCGCTGTCTGATGTTGGCGCAGCATGTATCTGTAAGGTTCGAGGATTTGTTTCGCGGAAGAACGGCTCGATCTCTGGTCAATTTTCCGCAAGTCCTCCATGAAGTCTTCGCTGTTGAGGAGCGAAGCCATCGTCGCAATCGAGGACGGATTGGAGAATACCCCACTGCGACGGCGACTAGACAGTGCGATGACTAGAAGAATGATGACCGCAATAAGAGAAAGAACCGCTTGTAGAGCTCTCGTATAGTCGACCTTGAGGTACCACATGGGGTTGCACCGTTCCATAATGAGCGTAGGGCTCCTGCACCATGCAATCGCTCTCACAGTCGTAGATTGAGTTGCAATGGCCGGAAGAGCGCTTAGGCAAAGGTAGACGACACCGACCAGGGTGACAACAGGATGACAAAGAAACATGTTCCAGATATCATCAATCGACAGACTGGTGGCCAGATAATCGGCCAAAAGGGATTCCGTGGCAGAGGCACCCTTCTCCCGGGATAGGAGATGAAATGGCTCCATCATCTTGGTAGAAGTGAATACAATGGCCCAAATGAGTTTGAGAACGACTGCTACCAGGACAGGTAGGTATATGGCGCGAAAGTATTGAAGGTTGCTCAAGGCCAGGCCAAGCTCGACCTCGTCTGCCCTCTGATGATCTGGAGGTGTGGTCGGGACAGAGGTACTTTCAGCGAGGACTGTTGGGGCTATGGTGCCACTGTAGGAGGTCAACGTTGCGGTGATGGTTGACAGACTGCCAGAGGCGTCGAGGACTGTTTCAGTCATTACAGCGACGCCGTATGTTTCTGTTGCCACGGCCGTTACTGTATTGCCTGACGCATCCTCTGTGGTGTAGGTAATCAATGCAGTGAGTTGTTGGTAGCTTGTTTGAGCCGATGATGATGGAGTAGATGCTGTGTAGATTTGTCCAGAAGACAACCCGAATGTTCCGAAAGAGCTGGTTTGAGATATAGAGTCAACGTCTGTAGTGCTTACGACTCCCGAACCAGTCACTGCGATAGGTGTCGTGGTGCGCGTACGTGAAGTCGCGCTGTTAGAGGGCACAGTATAGGGGTTAGTGGATTTTGTCGTCGTCGATTGTTTCAC